AAATATAAAGGTAGATAAATAAAAATTCTAAAGATTAAATTTTGAAATTTATAGAAAAATTAAATTTTAAGTATTAAAAAATTGTATAAAACAATTTAATTATTTTTTTAATAATATAATTGAAAATGGTTATTATTAAATAAAATTTTTGAAGTTTAAAATAATTTTAATAAAGTCAATTAAACTTTTTTAACAATTTTAAATATAAAAAATAATTGTATTTTAATAAGAACGTTATATTTATATTAAAAAAATTAGTATAATAATACTTTAAATGATTTTAATATTATATTATAACATATTGTTTTAATAGCAAAATCACAAGTGTTACAAATTGCTAAAATTGATATTACAATGGCAAAATTTCAAGTGTTAAGAAATTAGTATAACAATGTTTCGGAGTGTGGTTTTAATAGCACAATCTCAAGTGTTACAAAATTAGTATAACATATGATTTTAATAATAAAATTTCAAATGTTACAATCAAAAATTGATATTACAATGATAAAATTTCAAGTGTTACGAAATTGGTGTAACAACGTTTCGGAGTGTGGTTTCAAGTGTTACGAAATTAGTGTAAAAATACTTCGAAGTATAATTTTAATATTTATAAAAATAATTATTATAATAATAAATGTTATATATATAAAATTATTGTAATGCCTTATCAATTGATTCGACTCAATATATATTTTAGTACAATTTTTTATTGGCCAAGTATATTTATTGTGGCGATTACTCAAAATCAATTTATAGCCTCGGAACCCACTTTTAATAGATCAGCTCCCATATTATTGAAGTCAAAATGTTGTGATCTTAATATTTATCTAAGGCATTATGGTAATTGACGCAGTGTTACAGAGGCGCAGTCATGTATGCGGCTTAGCACATTAATTTTTTTAATCCATCTTATTATTTATGTACGATTTTGATTTTTTCCCACCTATTTTATTTTTTTATTTAACAAAACAATGTTGTATTTTAATCGGATTATGTTGTGACTCAATTTAATAATAATAGATGTTTGATTAACAGACGGAATACATAATCAAGATTTATTTTTGATTGTAGTCATATCTATAGTCATGTGTGGTAACACTTATCTTTTCTTATTATCAAATCAGCGCGGCGACTTACTTTTTTAAGTATTGACATTCTCTTTTCAACAATTGTAACATTACTTATGGAACGCCTTTCTTCTTTAATGATTTTATTGATTTTATTCATTAAGTCTTTTTTGTACTAATGATTTTCACAGGTAATGAATTTTTTCTTAATGACAACGTTTTTGTACAAGAGATTCTATCTTCAGCCCATCATTCTGAAAATTTAAGTATAAATAAGATATTTCATTACAAATTTTAAACTTTGAAAATTCTCTTTTAAAAAAAAATAAAAATAAAAATAAAAAAGGAAAAATAAAAATAATAAAGAGCGGTCCGTGACGATGAAATGGTCGATAGACGAGATATATGATTCTGCATCCAACTCTTTATAAACGTCCAACAACTGTTTATACAACCAACGCTACTGAGCCTTCAACATACGGTTCGACTCGACTAAAATTTACAGACCGATGATTTATATCTTATCTTCATTATGGGCCTTGTCAACATCACGGCAAGTAATGACAATAGAGTTGTCTGTGAGAGATAAAGATTTGATTGCAAATGCACTATTTTGTGAACTGAACCCATTGATTCAACAATACCAATCATTCGTAACTCAAGTCACGAATCACTCCGTCCTAATGAACGATCTACAGAATGCTACAATTGAACCATGAGGGAAATGAAGTTTAGGAAAAAATAATATATATGAAACAGTTCGCATTTACAATAACACCAAAGCATAATTTAAATAATATTAGAATTTATTCTTAAAAAAAGCTTAGCAGTGAAAGATACAACTGACAACTACAAGATATCGATATTTCCTTACATAATTTATTAAAAATTAAGCGAAAAATATTTGTTCAACGTCCTACCGTGTCAACTTTGGCTAAAGCAAAGTCGAAAGATGTTTTTTCCTTTCATAAAATTGTGACAGTGGCAGAGTTTTTTTGAACTATTTGACTATTTTTTATTTTTTTTTAACATTCACTTTCAAAAACACTCGCGCGCTCTAACAAAATAATTTTAATGTTTCAAAGAATTTAGTTTTTCCGGGTTGTAGGGATTCCGGTACAATACATATTTTGAACCTACTTAACTCAACAATAGGAATATAACTTGGATTTTTTTCCTTTACATCCTTCTCTAATATAAGACAAAAAAAAAAAAATTCTTTTATTTGATTTTTTTATAAAAATGGCTGTTGTAGTATCCTTAGAAAATTTAGTTTTTAAGACACGTTTTAAATAATATGTAATGAATCAAATTGGTCATGTTTATTAATAAATTCATTCTTCTGCTTTTTGTTGTAGATCATGTGATCTGCCATATGACAAATTAGAATTTTTTTTTATTGATATAAAAAATATTTCCTTACTTTATATATCGTAATTGAATTCTGTATCGATCAGAGATTAATTAACAAAAAAAAAATTCAAATTGATCCCAATACCATATTTTATTAATAATTAATTTATTCACGAAAAAAAATATTTTTTTTTTAAAAAATTAGAATGTTTAAAATTAAAATAAAATGTTTCAACAGTACAACCCAACCTTTTGAACTAACTAACAAAGTATGCGGTCATCCTGTTAAATCATCCAAGTCTTTATCAGATATTATTCTATTTTTATACTACATTTCAGTTTGATGTACGCTGGACGCAGCAGTGTCACCACTTAATTTCGTAAGATGAAAATTTATTAATGTAAGGATTACAAACGTGTGAATGTCGAACAATTTAACAAAGAATAAAGTTTTATTACAGAAACAACTATTATTGCATCAGCCGATGTTCTGTAATAAGCCTAAAAGAGAAAAAAAATCTATCTAGTTCTATCCTATCCTATCGTAAATACAAAGCAAAACGAGTCAGCGGTTCCGTCACGGAATTCCTTTATAAATATCAATTAATAGCTTTTAAAGGACGGGTAGGCAAAATTTATTAAAAACGATGTCATATAAATCCAGAAAGGTCCGAAATGAAATGTTAGAACTTGCAGAACTATCAGAATGACAATTCGATTAGTTTGTTTTTTTATTTAGTTTTTTGTTAATTTTTAATTTTTTTTTTTTTTACCAATTTTTACATTTCTATTATTTTATCCGAGATGACATTTACTGGATATTCGGATCGAAACAAATATTATGTTCATTTACTTAAATTGCATCGCTTAGTAAAATCAAAGAAAGATATTATATTTCATCCTTTTTTGCTTTCACACTTGATGCCAAATTAAAACGATGACCGCTGCACTTGTGAATTCCATTATACAAATGACCAATGACATTACTAATTTAAATTATTGTCAAGGTCAATAATGGGATTATGTCATAGGAGACAGTGAATTTCTTGTATAAGATCTATTTTTTAAACATAGTTATTAACACGCAACTTTTTTCAAAGAAAAATCAGAAATTAGACACTTACTTGAATAATTAGCTGTGATGCATCTTCAATAAACAAATTATAAAATCCAGCCCAAAAGGTCCAGATTTCTACTTTTGTTGAAAATTGTGCGCTGAAAATCTGAAATCCAAACAGTTTAGATGACATGAGTGTAATTGTCTCAACATCTGTTGCTGCTAATATTGTTAATAACGCTGCTGGTTTTGAATACGACCGAAACAATATATGAAAATTTTCATTTTCATTGATTTCTGAAATTAGCAAGATAATGATAATCAGACTATTGATGCATAATGGGTCGCAAGGTAAAGGAAACTAATATTTCAAATGATAAGTAGAATAGAAATAATTCAGTAAACAAGTGTATTTATGTAGTTTTATAAAGGTATTGTGAAACTAACTAACCTTGGCCAGTATAGCCAACTGACATCTTTACCACTAGTAACAACGAAAGCTATATCTAGAATCAAATCTACTAGCATAAGTGTTACCTTGATCACAAAATTCTGGCCCTATAAGAAGAGCGTTAATGTATTGAAAGCCTTGCAAAGAATTTTAACAGCTACAGTGTTTTTTAACCTTGCCATATAATAAACCGCACCCAGAATGACAACTCCCAACATAGATCTACTTGAGCTTGTAACTTTCCCAGTGATTTGCTTAAATAGAGTCATTATGAAACGTGTAAATTGAGGATGAACGTCGCTTGCAAGAATAAACATAGATAAGGAACTTTTTTACTCACGCATCAGTTGAAATCCATATGTACTGTCCAAGTATAATGCGAATTTCTTGAAGAAATTATATTGACCTCTTATTTTTTATCAAGTATCCAGATTGACAAAAATTAATATCTATATAGAAAATATGGTGTTGCTTTAATATAAAATTCCTTTTTCATAAGGAAGAAGATCTGTGACATAAGATATACACCAACTTTGAGCAAATATTTTTTGAACAAATAAAATTTTTGATATATTCTATATATACAATAATTAATACATTCATTTATACCTTTAAAATAAAATTTAAAAAGTAATAAAAATGAAAAAACAACAGAAAACTGAAAACTGATATTAATTCTACGATTAATACAGCAACTGTAATGCAAATTGATAATATCAAATGTATCTCCTATGTCAAATTTTTTTATTTGTTTTATTCATTATATATGTTATTGTATTTTATTTGTAATATTTAGTATTACTAGTTAAAATCAAAAAAAAATAGTTTATGTAAAAATCATCTATCAATTATCATTCAATTAGACATTAATTGGCAAAAAATCAACCTATCTGATTTATGGTTGTGCTAAATTTCAAACCCTGATTGATCCAATTGAATAATGCAAATATTGTCTCAAAGGAATGATAGAAATTGTTTCTAAGAGATGATATAAATCATTTCTAAGAAATAATAAAAATATTTGTTCCATTTCAAATGATAAAAATAATCATTCAAATCAAATGATTCAATATTAATCCAATTGGATAATGCAAATAATCAAAGAATTGTTTTTTTGAAATAAAGTGATAATAGAATATCATTTAATAAAAATAATCAAAAAATTGTTTCTTTGGAATGATAGATCATAATTCTTATTAAATAATTAAAAAAATATCTAAAAGGATAATAGAACTATTAAAATTGTCACTTTGAGATGATGTCAATAAGAATAATTAATGAAAAGAGATAATATATCATTATTTTTATTTAATAATTAAAAGAAAATTGTTTTTAAAAGATAATATATATTATTCTAATTGAATGATTTAAAAGAAAAATAATCTCTCTGAAATGATAAATCAAGATCATTTAATAAAAATGATTTAAAAAATTATCCTAAAAGGATAATAGATTATAATTCAACAAGAACAATTAAAAAATCAACCCTTTAGGATAATACATCATTATTTTTATTGAATAATAAAAAGAAAAATCATTCTAAACAGATGATAAATCATTTTATTAAATAATTAAAAAAAAATTATTTCAAAAGAATGATATGAATGATATATTATCATTTTAATTGAATAATTAAAAAAAATTATCACAAAGAGATAATAGATCATTTCTATTAAATAACTTAAAAAACCATTCTAATTATTTCAAAGTAATGATAGATATTTATTCTTATAAGTAATAAAAAAATTATAACAAAGACATTATGCATTATCATTCCTTTAAAATGAAATTGTTCTATAAGAATAATAATAAATCATTTCTTTAAAATGATAATTATTAGATAAAATGATCAAAATTTATTTCTTTGAAATAATAATTATTCTATAATAATGATAAAAATTATTTTAATTCAATGGCACAAAATCATTAGATTGAAACGTTCAAATTATCATTATATATTATTATATATTACGAAAAATAAAATCTTTTAAATTGAATAATTCTAATAATTTAAAATCATCTAATTGGAATGAAATAAGCATCATCCTAAAGGAATAATATATTATTAATAAAAATGATAAAAAATTATTTAAATTAAACAATTCAATATTATTTTAATTAGATGATGTAAAATCCTTTGATTGAAATAATCAAATTATTATCCTAAAAGAACAAACACTATGTTCGATAATAATGATAAAATTCATTCAAATTAAATGATTCAAAATCATTTTAATTAGATAATTAAAGTATTATGATTGAAATAATCAAAACTTTATTCTTTAAAGAATAATACAAATCATTTAATAGAAATGATAAAAAGAATCATTTTAATTATATAATACAAAATCATTTAATTGGCTAAAATGATATTAATAAATAATGACTAAATTATAGATAATCAAAATTTTCTATTTAATTTATAATATAAAACTGATATACTTTCATATTTATTATTTTAAATCAGTCAGGTTAACCCAAATTATTGATTCAGGTTAAGTTATTAAGTTAGGTTAATATTATAGTTTTTAAGATCTAAAAACAACCTATCAGATTAGGATTATACTTTTATATAACTTGAGTAATATTATGATAACTCAGATGAATATATGTTTCTAATTTATATTACATAAGAAATTTAAATTTGAAATAAATATACTAAACTCATCAAACAGAAAATGTTTTACTATTCATAAATATTTTTGAATTAGTTATTATTATTTACTTTTGCTTAAAATAAAATTATTTAAATATAAAAGTTGGTTTTATAATATTAGTAATGAATATTATCATTTGTTTCTTACATTTATATTATTTATAAAACCTGAGTTGATATGAACTTAATTATAATCAAGTTAGATCAGATTTGGATTATGTAAATGCTAATCTGAAATTTTAACAGTTCATTTGCACTTTTGGATTAAATTTAGGTATTTCTGAATCTAATCTGATTTGATTTCTTCATACACTATTTAGATTAATTTGAAAAAATTTTTACTTTTTTTTTAACTTTTTCCTTTTTTTTTATAATTTTTTTTTAGAAACTTAAAAGATTGTTACTATTTTACTTTCTTATTTTTTAGAAAAATTTTTCTTTTAGAAATAAAATAAGTAAATCGAATTGATATTTTAAGCAGACATTTATTTTATATCTTTCATATTTCTTGTTTTTTAGAAAAATTCTTATTTAGAAATTAAGGTAAGTAAATTAAAGATAGCTTTGAATGGTTTTTAACTTTTTTCTTTATATTTTTTAAAGAAATTCTCTTTTCAAAATTAATACAGTGAACTCTTGATATAACGAATTCTAGGATCTGAATATCAACTTCGTTATAAGCTTATAACAAATTTTTTAAAGAATTTAATTAGCTAGTTCACTATAGTAAGGTAATTTTAATATATTTGATTTAAAACTTCGCTGTATCAAGGGTTCGCTATATCAAGGTTTGACTGTATAAGTCTTTGAAAGTAATTATAGAATGGTTTTTAATTCTTTTATTCTTTATTTTTCTTTGATTTTTTTAGGGAATTTTTTTTTGAAACTAAGTTAAGTCTTTTAATGTTTAAGGGAGAAGTAATTTTTAAGTGATTTTTTAATTATTTTCTTTTTTTATTTATTTTCTTTAGAAATAAATTAAGATAATAAATCAGAGATAACTTATTAGATGAATTTTTTATAATTTCATTTTATTTTATTATTTTATAAAAATTTACATTTTGCAATTAAGCTAAGTAAATTATAAATAACTTTATATGTAAATTTATTATTTTTCTTTTTTGTTCTTTTTGTTTTAGTAAATTTATAATTTAAAATTAAGGTAAAATATGTAAAATATATCAGAAGCAATTTTTTAAGTAGAAATTATTATTTTCCTTTCTTTTTTATTTTTTAGGAAATTATTATTTTGAAATTAAGTAAGTAAATTAAAAGTGATTTTTTGGATGAAAATTTACTATATTACTTTCTTTTTTTTTTAAAAAATTTATCATTTTGAAATTAAGATAAGTAAATCAAAAGTAACTTGTGTAGATTTTTAACTTTTTTTTTATTTTTTCTTTATATTCTTTAGTAATATATTATAATGAATCAAAATGATTTTGAGATAAAATTTTAGTTAAATAAATACAAGATGCATAGTTTACTGCATCTTCATTTGATGCTTTATATTTCAAAATAAAAAAAAAACTTTCTAAATATAGATATTATCTGATAATAATGCATATATTATAATAAAGAATTAATAATTATTATTAGTTAATAGATTAAGAGATATAATATAGAAATAAAATCATGAATTTTTTAGAATCTAGTGAAGCCAAAACTACAATAGGTTCTTATTATATACAGGTCAATTATATTTTTATAAGCTATATATTAAATAAATTTAATATTATTATACTACACATATCCTTTAAACTGTATAGCAGACAAATTTGCCTGTGAAATTAAAAAAATGTGTTAATTTTTTTATAAAATGTTAAATATTAATTTTAGTAATATTATTACATTACTATATAAAAAATATAGTTTAATATATTTTTTATCAACTACATTAACAAAGATTTTAAGTTTTTAAAAAGGTTTTTAAAATAATTTAATTTAAAATTAAGTTTCTAAAATTTCTTATAATAATTTTTTAAAAATTTATATGTTTGTATACTAATTGAATCACTTTATCATTAATTAAAGTCATAAAAATTTTTTATAAATTATAAAAATTATAATAATTAAACTTTTTCTTTTTAAGTAATTTTATAATATTCTATTATGATTAATATAGTTAAAATTAAATTCTAAAAAGTTTATCATAGATTAATCATAAAATTTTTTAAAATAATTTTTTTTTAAATATTACAAATTTTTAGCTTCTAAGTAACATTAAATTTTTTATTATATAATTAAAAGATAAAACTTATTGTAATAAATTACATATTTATATAATTAATATAATTAATTTAAAAAAAAATTTCTTAAAAATATTAATTATTTATAAAAGTAAATTAGAAGAAAATTTATAATAAATAAGCAGGCAAATTTGCTTGCTAAACCTTACGATCTAGGGGATAATAAAATGTTATATAGACTTGAATATGATATTTGAAGTGACAATAATATATTAAATGCAAAAAAGGATATTAAAGAAATATCTATTATAGATCTCAATTCTAGTAAATGACTAAAAATCAAAAAATATAATATCTACTTAGAAAGCATTACCAATTGATCACATTTTATTTAACCAATAAATATAAAATCATATTTGTATAC